TTGATGTATGAAAATTTTAAAATATCCAAAAAACTAATGTATCCGAACTATGTTTGGATATTTGTACCAATAAAAACCATATTAACCGATTCGATTTTGGTATTTGGAATTTTAACTAAAAATAATTATATTACCCGATTTTTTTCAGATTCAGTTTTAATGTATAAGACTTAAAATATTAAATTAATTATATGATGATACATATAAAATATATAATTTTAAATATGAAAAATTTTAGTTTATAAAAATTGAAAATTTAACATCAGCACGGATGTGTAGATTAATTTCTAGTATAATATTATTTCTCAAGATGTATATGGATTTCATCTAAGCTTTCATTTTTGGTTAAGATAATTTCTGTAACGTTCTTAAAGATTATAAATGAAGTCCACAATAAATAAAGCTGAAGTTATATTCAAGCAAAAGAAAGAAGAAGCTGGAGTCATATCAAGCATATTCAATACGTTCTCATAAAATACCAAAGGAGGAAAAGCGAAGCATGGGTCAGTAATACTTTTGTGTGGCTACTTTTTGTAAACGAATGTTTTGGTGTTTATAATCGTCTTGTACGCATCTTCCAAATTCGGATGGAATTCCCCTTCTCATTGTTTAGTCGTATTCATCCATGTTTTTATTTATTAAAAAGAACAACAATAAATTAGAGAAAAACATATTTTAAAGAGAGAATTAGGGAAATGCCCATAATTAAAGTTGTAATTAATGGTTTATCCATGATGGGATATGAAAACAAGATTTCATACAATTATATTTTGGTTGGACGTTAAAGTCCCTCTTGCATTCTCAACTCTTCTGCGATTCTTTAATTATTCTGACACTCTTTTTTTTCTCCTCTCTTATACTCTCTTTCCATTTCTTATTATATTTTTTTTTCTTCCATATTTTTTCATCCAAATTTTTTTTATTTACTAAAAACTAATTGACACACGAGACAAAATAATTTTTATTCGTTAAAAACTTTAAAAACTAATTAACACACAAAATAAAGTATTGATTTGTTTAATTACACCACAGATTGAGAAAATCATCATTGTAATATCTTTAAAATCACCGATTGTTAACTAATGTGTTATCTGTAACAAATAATGTAAATGTTAATAGATGTGTTAGCTGTTAACAAATACATGTACCAGAGGTGTTAGCTGTTAGTAAATTTGTTAACAATTAATGTCTCTGTTAACACATCTGATACATGTATTTGTTAACAGCTAATACATCTGTTAACGTCTACAAAATTTGTTAACAGTTAATGTCTCTGTTAACAAATAGATAATATAGAATTTTTAATTTTTCTATCACAGTGAGTAAATATAAAAAGTCAAAGTTATTCTTTAAAACCACATAGAAAGTAAATATATATATATATATATATATATTTGAATGAGTGAAAAAAAATTTAGAAGAGAGAATGACAAAGAAAAAAATGATAAGAGAGTTTGAGAATAAGGAAGAAGTGAAATCGAATGAAAGAGAGAGAGTGTCAGAAAAGAGAGTATCAGGAGAGAGTGTGGTGAGAATAAAATCAGAGAGAGGCATAGGGGTATTTTGATCACTATAATTAATTCAGTCAAATCATATGTATTTCCCTAATTAAGGATCCAAAAAGGATATGTGAGCAAATTATCTCTATTTTAAATATATATCTATATGTTTGGGAAGATTTACAGCTGATTTAGAAAAAAAAGTTGAAATTGTTTATAGGCGCTTTACTAATAAACTGTGTTGTTTCTGGAATCAAATTTATAAGTTTCTCCTTTATCCATCTATTTAATTCTTTTGACTGATGATTATATATGTATTATAAGAAATCCAAATATACTAGATTACAAAGGTGTCTTTATAATTGTCATATGCAAATGTTTCTAATGAATAGTTTTATTCTATCCTTACTTCAACTTTTTTTTGTCATCCATTACTTAAAATCTGTTTTTTTAACACATGTTTTATTACTGTTTTATTTTTTTTGGTTCAGTCTGATTTGATTTTAGACCATATATTAGTATTTTTAATATTAAAAATCAGTTCAACTTTTTAATAGAGTTTGTTCACTTCGTTTAAAATCAGATTGGCTAATAGTGAAACTTTATTTTCAATTTTTTTCCAAGTTCATAGATGTTTATTTTGACATAAAATTTTGCCATTACATCGTTTGCACACCATTCTCACCAAATCCATAAAGTCAACAGTAAAAGGAAAGGAGCGACGGTCATGCCAGCATCGTATATCTCCAAACAAACTATCTTGAAGATGAAGAGCCGATAAGCCACATTTAACAATGGATAAAGGATTATCAAACCTTGTTGATAAAAAAAAGTACATAAATCTAGGCCTGGGCAGAAATTAACTATACCGAAGAACCGCTCCGGTTGGCACCCGGTTAAGCAAGTACCGGTTCGGATTGGGTTATGCTGAAATCACCGACTGGGCCTCGAATCCAAGTTACTATGGACCTCGGTTCGGATCGGGTTTTAGTGTAAGTTACTATGGGCCTCCGTTAGGCTCTTTACCCTTTAGGGTTAGTGGTTGAGAGAGTCGAGACACCAAAACTTTAGCTTGTTCCCAAGACAGAACCGTCGACGGCGATTGTTGCTATTCTCTTCGTCTCCTTCACTCTGTGCATGCTTTGTCTACTGCAATTGAATACCACTTGCTTTTCGATTCGTATTTCTCCATGGAAGTTCTATATAAACCCCTCTTTCCCCATGGAAAGAACCATATCCAAAGTTTCAAACTTCTCAATTCGTATTCTCCATCGTCTCCTCTTTCTCTAATCTCTGCAGTCTGCAATTCAACCACAAGTTCGTATTATAATCTCTTATACTTTCTGTAATTCGATTATGGATAGTATCCAAATAGTAGTTTGATTCTTAGTCTTTGATGGTTTTTTGTTCTTCTTTTAGCTTGATTTGATTCTTAGTTACTGATCAAATATTGTATGTGTGTGTTCAGATGGGTTCCTCATGCTTTCCAGATGAAGACGACGTTCATCATGGATGCTTCTTCATTGTTCCCAGTTTTTCATCGGCTACTTGATCAATCTTTTGTTATGTTTTTATGAGTTGTTAAACTATGTCAAACTTATGGTTTTTGGTTAAAGTTATGCTTATTAAGTTCTTGTTTTGATTATGAATCGTTACTTTGTTTATTTTGTCGGTTATTTATAAATTGAATCGGTTAAATCGGATTTAAATAGGGTATTTGAATACTCTGGTTACAGAAATTAACCGAACCATTCTTAACCCGAAAAAATTTCGGTACAATTCGGATTTTGAATTAGAGTAGAGAACCGACCCGAACCCGGCCAATTACAAACCAAACCGACCCGAATTTATTGTAAAATACCGAATGGTATGTATATGTCTAATACCGATTTACCCGATTACCGATTGGGTAGAACCGATACCCGATTGGGTACCCAATTGCCCAGGCCTACATAAATCCATTTATTTTGCTTTAATAGCTTGGACAAATGTATTAATTGAAATGACCTTTATAAATAAAAAAATCCAGTTCACTGTGAATTTATTGTAGTTTTCTATTTCGATCAGTTGCTATCTTACTTGTTACTTTGGTCCTGACATTTATTTCTTTGGAATGCATTTCAAACTCTGTCTATTGTTTTGTCTTGTTATTTAATGTGGATTTCACTTAATTCCTTTTGAGCCACCATGAATGTTGAACAAAAATGTCATCACCATGCATTATTTGATTTGATTATTTGAATATTACATACCAAAAATATACAGTAGAGTTATTCAGGTTGTTTAGCTAAAACATAGAACCTCTAGATAAGCTGAAGTTGGTTATAGACAAAAAAGTGATACTTATAAAGTAGTCGTATGTGATCTGTCTATAATAATTTCATGACAGCTAGATAAATTTATTAGCCAATAAATATATATATATATATATATATATATTCGGCATCTTTACTTTTATCTATCGATTAGGGTTATGCACAAATACTTGATATTTAACTTTTATTCGTTATTTGATTTGATTCGGTTTAAAAAAATAAGTAATTGTTACAATAAAATCGAGTAGGAAGTAAACAAATTTTATTACTCGTAAATACAAGTCAAGTATCAAGTTTATTTTTATTTTTAACTACTTGGTTTGTTACTTGTTATTATTTACTTGTCCCATTATTTATCATATATTATTTAGTTTATTAAATATTTAATATCTATTTTATCAGTTAATTACAATTTATGTATTATATTTTATTGGTGACCATAATTACTCATTATTTGTCTCTTATTCAATACTTAATGAATACATGATCTTTAAAAATTAATATGTTATGAACAAGTTAAGTATTAACTATAATCTATTTAAATTACTTATAAGTATAAAATAAATATAAAATAAATATTAAATAAATTAATTACTTGACTTTGTTTTGTTTATTAGTTTGTTAATGAACACATTTTTTTCTTCTAAATCGTAGTAAAATAACTTATTTCTATTTCCATTTTCATAAATATATCAAACATAAGTGCTATATTTATATAAACATCTTGAAGTTTTTTTATTTTTTTTATATAGTCTATTTTTAGAATGACTTAAAAAGAAGAAAACAATGACATATTATTTATATAATACATTTATTTAACTTTAAATTCTAATGAAAAATCAAATATTTACTAATAATTATGAATGAATTTATAAGTAATTTACAAGTAACAAATAATAAAATAAATCAAGTAATTTATAAATCTGTCATTTTTTTGTAAGTACTTGAAACTATAAGTATTTATTTTTTTTAAACCAAGTACAAGTTAAAATATTTACTACTCGTATAAACTAAACCGAATACAAAATATACCAAAAATATTGAGTACTCGGCTTGTGCCCATTCTACTATCAATGTAGCTTGTGACCCCTCCCTTTTTCTTATAATTGGTATACAAATTGCCGAGTAAGTGTGACCAGTGATATGGAATAACGAAAAAACATTTCAAACAATTTTGTTTATGAGGCAAAGTTGACCAAAAACATGGTACTGGAAACATTTACACATTATTTTTTCTTAAGAAACATTTAAACCCGCTCAAAGTGGTTGAGTTGTGAAACATTTACACATTACACAAGATAATAAGCAAAAAACAAAAAATATTTTATTTTTGTGAAACAAAAGCCACAATAATATAGTAACAGAGAAAAATCCCAAAAGTTTTCCAAGTCTTGTTGTATTTAATTAAAATTCTGGAATTACGGAACTTCCTTAAAAAAATTCCTAACGCCAACATTCCGGCGTTAGAGAATGGTCACGCTTATAATCTTTGCAATAGTTGTATACCATGTTATGTGTTTGAACCCATCTCATGGCTTGGTATTGCTGTCGAGTTAACCCACCAGAACGGTATGGTGAAGCCGACACTGGATGGCACCGTGCTGACGAATAAGCAGTGCAACCAATGGCTTTAAAGTTCGTGTATTTGGCAGTAAAAGGTTGATATTTGTAGTCCGCTTTGTATTTACCATCTTCGGTTGCCCAAGAAGAAGCGTCCCATATGGAACCATAAAGCCACATTGGTCTTAAAGGGAATGTGGCCGCACTCTTCTTTGGGTATCTTCTTATTGGAATATCATCTACCAAAAATCTGAAATTGTAGATGGGGAAAGCAATATTAGTTTGAAAATTGATAGAGTTTACTAAATAAGGAATATGCTGAGATATAAAAAATGTATGTTGTATAGTAACATTCGTATAAAATAATAGAACTGCGAGATTTGAAACAAAAAATATAAAAAATACTTAGTATATGGGTGTCCCATCGATGTGGTCGCACAAGGACTCACGCTTAATTAGAAGAGCTACAAACAATTAGTAAAGCCACTTTCATTAGACCCAAACACGAATGACATAAGAATATGTGAATAATTATTTCTAAACAACAACAAAAAAATCAAGTATGATTGTCCAACGTCGTACGGTCATTGTCTCTGTCTTGTTTGTCTCTACTTACAACTCTCTTTCCCGAATAATGCAACCCTACGGAAACTCTTTTGCATTTATAATAAAAGTTAACTTTTTGTTTACTATATGTCTCGACTAGATTCATCCACCTAGGTCCAAGGCCAGGAAAATAAAGTTTATAGCTTTCTTTCTTAAGAACTTAAAAAGTATTTTGTATGAGGCAATTAAGAGAAGATGGCTTACATGATTTCTCTAGGGTTCCAAAGAATAGCATAATGGTGAAAACCTGAAGTGGGATCAAACCACAAGCGAAACTTTATTTCACGACCAATGATTTTGCCATCACCACTACCCCTAATGTACACATTTGTCTGAAGTGTGTATGGTTTTCCAAATGTTGTCCCCAAAAATTCTATGTCCACTTCATCATGGAACCCTGGATGTGCCTCATTATTTGATAGCTGCATAGTGTTTTTTTTGGATCAATTTTAATTAGGATCACTAAATGTAATTAAAAAGTACTTAATTAAGAATGTCTGGCTCTTACATAGAGAGATGTGATGACTCCAGCAGTGTAGCCAGGTTGGAGTTTGATGGATGCTCCAAAGTAGCCTGATCTGAATGGCTTCACCGACTTAAATCCACTTCCTATATATATACATATACACACCCGAATTCGAAGTACGTACGTTATTACTAAAAAGAAATATAAACTTCAAATCCGATTTAAAATACACACTTGAGAAAATCAGAGTTGAATTAGTAGTACCTGAGGCTCTATCAAGCCAGATGGTAAGAGCATTTTGGTCCATTCTCTGATGTTGAGGACCCCAAAGATTCCTAAAACCTTTGTAGAAGCTCAAGGAGCTAACCTTGGAGCTTGGCCAGTAACCAGGTGATGGTGGCCAATAAGCATTTACCGAGGATCCTAATAACACCAACAAGTGGAAGATCGGGAGAAGATAGATCAGAGGGTTACCCATTTTTGGTTTTGTTTTTTTTTTGTGTGGAATGGAGAGAAGAAGAGTGGAGTATATAAATGGAGAGTGTGTGTGTGAGAGAGATGACGTGGGGATGGATGGACATGAGTTTGGCATATATTAGAGAGAGATAAACGTTTATGATGGAATTGAGATTCACTATTTGGACCCACTGACAAAAATACATAATGAAGAGCTGGTCCACTCACCTAAACTCTTAAAGACTTAAACGGTCTAAATATAAAACCTCACTAGCATTATTACGTTGCTCTCGTGTGTTACACTTACATGCTATGAATTTATGGAAAATCTTAGGTTAGGATCTCATTCACACAAAATTGACTGATACAAGGACAAGTGGTTTTAAAACTGGTTGCCATGGCCTACTAACAACTATAAGCAGATACTGCTGCGTCTCATAATCTTCAAAATCTACCACCAGCCTTATCTCTTTTCTTTGTGTTTCTTCTTCTTTGACTATGAAAGTGATATCTTGGAAAATTGGCAACAATAACCAAAAAAATTCTAAATAAGAAACATACTGGGTAAAGTTCACGATGTATAATATATACATTACATTCTTTTTTTTTAAAGAATATAATCTTTGTGAAGGTAAAATCAATATTAATTACATTCTTACCCTTCCTATATAAGCGACCACACTTTTTTATCTCTTTTTTTGCTTATTTTTATTTAACAAATAATGTCCACCTTTTTTAGTTTATTTCCTATTTTCTGATCTAATATATTTTTTTTCGAACAAATGATCAAGCTGAAATAATAATGGATGGGCAATCGGGGGATCAATAATGTTTTGGTTTGGGTTCAATCGACTTTTAGGTATATGAATTTCAGTCCTGTTTAGATATTATAAAAGTTTGGTTCGAATTTAGTCGGGTTCAATTCGGATTTGTCAACAATTCTAAAAATCGGTTCAACCCGATATTATTTTGGATTTCAGAAGAGTTTTCGGTTTGAAATTATTGATTTGTATTTAGTTATATACGAAAGCCAAACAATGATCCAATGAAACAAACACCAAAATCTAAAATTTAGAAATATGAAATGAGACATGCTCTTGTGGAGACTCTTTTTATATACATTTTCATGTATTTTGAAAAAAAAATGACGATTCTCTTGTATATATTTCAGATATATTTACCAATTTTTTAAAATAATGTATATTTTTGGAATTTTTTATATTAAACCAAAAATAGTTACTATATCTATTTATTTAATTTTGATTCAGATCTTTTCGAGTATCCAAAAATATTTTAGTTTGGATATGATTTGGTTTCAATTTTTTTAGATACCAAAATTTTGAAACTATTAAATATTTTACCATTTTCAATTCGTATTCGTTACTATTTTTGGATCAGATTCTGTTTTTGGATCGGATCCGGTTCGGTTGTTCCAATGATGTAGTTTTCCTTATAGTTACATTTTTGTATAAAAATTGGTTATATATCGCTATTATATATAAATATAATAGTATATGGTTGCGGTGTTTGATATATACATGCTCACTCGCTGTGAGGGAGAGCAATGTCTGTTTTTATGACAAATTGATGCTTCCTTAAGTATGGCTGTTTTGTTAATTTTTTTTCTCCACATACAATGGTTATATCACTAATTAACCTTAACATATATATTATAAGATGAAGTGAAGTTGTGGGAATCCATTGACGTAATGGTAAATGAGAAAAAAATGTTGACTGAATGCCAAAATTTCGTAAAGAGGAATATCTGAACTTTTAGTTAAACTTAAAGAATGTATGGGCACTTATGTAAACGTTTCTTTTTTTTTAATGGCTAAGAGGTTCTCTGTCTGAGGCCACGTCTTCGATCGAGAAAAAAACTGTTTAATCAAGATTGTTTTAGGGCTTAGAGATATTAGAATTTGTTAACCAGAATATGTAAAGTTGTGATGATATAGTCCAGTTGTTTCCACTGGATAATGAACCATCTTGTTGGTCTAGGTTACAGAACAATTTAAAATAAATATCTTAAAGTTTTCTTTTTCAGTTCACCTTTTGATTTTTATAAATATAAAATCTCTGGATTTTAAAACCTATAAAAAGTTCGATTAACTATGTATATGGTTTAGGAAAGAAAATTATAGAAAAGATAAATTTTATTAAAAAAGATCAAACAACTATCTTATAATGGCATATGTATAAAATATTCTTAAATCATTAAGAATATTTTTATGATTAATTATTGTAAGAATAAATGTGAGAATGACACGTATTAAACTGATTTTCTCGAACAAAATATTATATCGTAGAGAAATAGAAATTGATTGTATAAATAAATATCATGAAGTAATTCCGAACCTCTTTTGTTCGGCGGTCCTACTCCACTCAGTAGAAAATTAAATTTTATATTTCTTAACCAAGTTAAATTGATCAGATGTCGTCGAAAGGACAACGTTGAATAATATTTGATTTTAATATAAATAAATGATTATATTTGAAATTAAATGAAAATATAGACTTTCACTATATTTGTCGGTAAAGGTGGTAGGAGCCTTTATGATCAACGATTACGGGACCGTCTATCCGACAAAAAAATTCATTAATACTTTTCAATAGAACCAACTTCATTATTGATTAAATTCTTTGATTTTAGTAACAATTTCTCAATTATTTGCTCCTCATAATTTTAGAATAGCAATAGTCTATTGTTCCGGTGCATGCATACCTATATATTATTAAAAGAAATATACCAAATTATTAACCTTAATTTTATTAGCTATTTATAATAGAATACCATTGAGATATTTATTGAACATATATTTAAGTATGCTTGTCTTTTCCTAATTTAAATAATAAATTTAATTATTTAATATTTTTCATAATTTAAATAATAGATTTTCTTAGTCAAATTGTAACCAAAATAAAATTTCCTAATATATTTAGTATTAACATATTTTTTCTTTAATATTTATTAGTAATAAATAATATGTTAATTTTCATTAAGAATTTTATTTAATAGAAGTTATAGTTCTAAATATGTTTGTATATATTATGTATTTAGAATGTTTGTTTTTAAGAATTACTAAGATTTTAGAATTGGAAAAAATATGATCCACCTCTATATTATTTTAATTAGGAAATTTAAAATTTATATCAGAAGATTTTATTAAATTTTTAGTTTGAATTATTGTAACTGTAAAGATTAATTTTCAATCAAATTATGTTTAAATATTATAAATATATCATTTATTATAAACAAAAACATAAAAAATACTCGTTCGGTTAGACGGGTCAAGGTCTAATGCATTCCATTAAACATATGTTTCCTGATCTAATCTTCTTTTTCTTTACTAATCTATCTATCTATTATTATAAAGTAGACTTTTCCCTCATTCTAGGATGCTATGTTACTAATTCAATGTATCATATTGCGACATGTGTCCACTAAAACTACATAATGCTTTTCATTAACGTAATTCTACGATTTATATAAGCTTCGTTATGTATCGTTAGGCCTCAATAATGTCCTTAAAGATCTAGACTGTTATCGTTAAAATTAAGATCTTTCATCCGTATCGTTTTGGAATCTAGAGTTCATCGTAATGTTTGATCTCCGGCATTAGAGAGACTGAGATGCAGAGAGCGGCGTGACAATTTTATTCATTGGGGTTTCAATCACATCCTTTCGCCTTCTTTACCTTTATTGAAACGAGACATATTCCAGATCCATCACATTAATCTAAGGATAGGTTCTTATTTATGAAAAATATATATACATATAAGTTATTAATTTATAATTCAATAGAAAAAATTATATATACATAAATTTTTTTAAAAAATTATAATCTTATTATTTTATCGATTTATGTCAAATTTTGTATCGGTCCAAGTTAAGATCGGTAAAATTTATTAAATTTATCGAGTATAGTTTATAGAGGTCCTACTATATATAATTTTAATTTTAGGTACTTACGGGCATAATTTTTCTATGAATACATATCAGTGTATATTTATTAATTCAAAAACCAACATAATATGATAAGTTATTACTATATTTTCTAAAGGTTTAAATAAAACGCCAACTATTTAAATTTGACAAAAAAATTCATCAAAAGACATATGTTTATTATTGTGTTGAAATTTAAAAACAATCACATATTAAATTATATTAAAAAATATCTTTATATAAATATTTTTAACTGAATAATATTTAATTATAATTTTTCTAACATAAATTTTGAAATTTAATAAACTAATATTATTTTCGGAAGAAAAAATCAATTAAATATAAAAACACAATATATATAAGAACTATTATGTAGTTATAATATTATCTCATGATTACAACACAATATATATATATATATATATATAACAATTATCTTTTGAAAATGTTTTTATCATTGCCAAATTTATTATATTAGTTTACATTCAATTATTTAAGCTAACATATAAATATAATATTATTATTTAATTTTGTTTTAATTATATCATAACTTATATATTTTAGTTTTATTAAGGGTAACAATTAAATTAACCGCTCTAACTTTTAACAAAAAAAAATCACTTCACAAATAATAATATAGCTATTAATTTGAAATATTTGAACTGCGGTAGTTATATATATGATATCCATTCATTAGAAAATAACTTATCAATGATTTAAAGAAAATGTATAATCATAAAATTTTAATCTCTTCCTTTCAACATTAAATTTAGCAGATCTATAATAAAAATAATGAAATATACACAATGAAAATTAAAATCAATTTAACTTAAAATCAGACACACATTTTAAAATATTTATTATAATTAATGATATATTAAGTAATTCTTATATTAATCTCTCCTCCTCCTACCCCACCTCTCCCATAGAGCGAACCAATCCTAGTATGTATATATATATATATATATATATATATATATATATATATATATATATATATATATAGTTTGGTGGAATATTAAGTTTGTTTTTGATATAGATTCACAAAGTTCTGAAACAATTCGCATCTCCTCTTTGTTTCATGAGTAAGCTTGTTCTTA